TAGGCAAATTTAGCCTACATTAATCATTACCAGACAGGGGAATACCAAAATTAACCTTATGTGCAAATTCACAACTTAGAAATATGTGCTAAAGTACAGCACTTTGTTAAATCATTGACTTGGATTTCAGAAGAAATTGCAATATAAGTTCTTCCTTCTACACTAGCATTTACATAGTTTCTCAGAAAATTGTTATAACTTCTGTACATAAACACACTTTTAATTTACACCCAAACAACACAAGCATGGGTTCAAAGAGAAGACATACAGAGGGAAGAACTTTATAAGAGGGAACATTTGGAAAAACCTAAGTTAGGGATCAGCAAACTTTTTCTACAAAGGGCCAAGTATTTAATATTTTAGGTCTGTTGCAACTGCCCAACTCTGCCATCATATCAAGAAAGCCATTATAGACAATACATAAATGAGTGGATGTGGCTGTGTTCCAACAAAACTTTATTTACAAAAACAGGCAAAGAGCCAATTTGACCCACAGGCCAGGGTTTCCCTTCCCTTGACCTAAGTCAAAAAGCAGATTCAATAAGTTGGATGGGGCATAACAATAATAGCAATTGTGTCTAGTGCTTTCCATACATTACCCCTAATCTTCCAACAACACTGCATGTTAGATATTATCATAATCTGGGTTTTCCAAATGAGGAAACTGAGATGTATGACAAATGACCTTCCCAAGGTCACAAAGCAACTAAGTACTAGAGGCAAGATTCAAATCCAAGTTTACAAACTCCAGAGCATGTAGTCTGATCTTAAAATATCACAGTACTGCACAATTGAGAGCTGTTAATATTACACAGTCATGATGAGCAATTAGTCCTTCCAGGAAAAGGGTATCAACCCTGACTCCATTTAATCACAACAGCACTTGCTTTATAAAGGGAGGAAAGTGCAGTGAAGTTCAGAAAGAAAAGCTTCAGAAAGACAGCCAGTGCCCACCCCAGAGGGGTGGCCCAGAGGGCTACACACACAGGTCCTATTTGTGTATTGATGCTTATATGTCTTTGAGGTATGTAAATAATTTACCCTCTGGTCCTTAACCATTTCCCCGTTATAGCCTGGCATCATCTCACCCTTAATTTTGCAACGAGAGTAATTAAATATTACAGATGCTCTGTTTAAATATCAACAGCTCCCAGTCACCTCCAGGATGAAGTCCATACACATTAGGTCCTCGTGATAAGCGGTCCTTACCTGCCTTCCCAATCTCATATCTGTCTGTTCCCCACAGGACCCAAGACCCCAGTCATACTGAATTTCTTCCAATTCTCCCAAACCCCATGCCCATCCCAAATATTTGTATATTTTTTCTTGTCCTGAGAGCCCTGGTTCCCTGTCCATTCCCTGTTCCACCATCCACACTCTTCTTCATACTTATATATCAACATTTCAGAGTCCCTGGCCATCCATGCAGAATCCATGTCCCTCAATTAGAGATTCTAGGTTCTTCTCGCCCCTACCCCAGTATATTTACCAGGGTTGCATGAAACTTTAGCAAAATTTAGCTGCTACCTTAAACACTGAAAAGATCACTGGGACAGTCCTTTGAATGAAGAAGTGGCACTAACCAAAGAAAAGTGGGAAGATTGGGGATTGGTAGGAAGTAGGGGAGTTGGGGCTGATAAGGTGGCAGAACAGGTCCTGTCTCTGGAATGACAATTCGTGTGCATACTTGCTAAGATCTGAGAGGCTGGGTTGAAACAGGGTTCAAAGAAGACCACCGCCTCACAAACATGGAGGCAGTGGGATGAGGCTGCCTTCCACATCATGGGATGTAGCCTTATGGAACCGAAGGCAGGAAAACATCTGCTGTTTCTTAGATCTTGGGCCTAGCTAGCTAGGGTGCAGTTTGGTTCCCATCTGTCTGCATGGCAGTTTATATAGATCTGCTTTTTAACAATTACAAAATCGTACATCTATAGGTACATATTATGTTAGCAAATCATTTCTCGTACTGAATATTCCAGTTTTGCTTGCTTTTTTACGATGTGTAATCACTGCATATGCCTCCATGATTGTTTCCTTAGGCCCGATTTGGAGAAGCCGAATTACTAGATCATAGCTATTGCAAACTGCCTTTCAAGTAGCTTGGGCCAGTTTATCCTTTTGCCAGCAATGTTCGAGATTAACTGTGTCCACTGACATTCTTCAACACATTATTATTATTTTTTAACTTTCCAATCAGATAGGCAAATATATTTTTTGCCTTGAATTTGAGGGTGAAGAAAACTATCTTAAGATTATGTGTAGGTGATATATATCAGGGGTGTTATTTTTTAATATCCCCAAATTCTCAAAATACCGTATTTCATCTCTTAATGTCTCTATTTCCCCCATAATCTAAATCCTAGATTCCATAATACCAATCTATATTTTTTAAATTCTTATTGATTTTGGGGACTTGCTGATAAACTACTGAAAGGTGATTATTGGAAAACTTGAATATTATTCTGTTCATAATCTACTTATGATAATCTAACCAAATCTGTATTACATGTTTTAATTCTTTTTCAGTGAATGATGCAAGAACTTCACCCAAAACAAGGGGTTTCTTTAGGAAGGATGTCCCTGTATAAAAAAGCATCTGTAGTTTCTTTACTCTTATCTTTGAAAGTACATGTTCTTTAGAGCTGGAAATATCCATTCACTTAATTATATACCTTGGCTTATATCTCTATTATTTCATCTTTTGTGGCATTTATGGACAGATGCTCTAAAGTATTACTCATCCATATTTCAATTCCTGTTACAAAACATATAATTTGGGATTATCTAGTCTATCAAATATGAAGTGATTCTTAACGAATTAATTTCTGAACGTCTAATTTGATGGCTAAGATAATATAACCCTAAGTCAAAAGGCCTCTGTTTTCCATAGTAACATCACCAAGTAAATAATTTTATCTTCGGTTCTACTTAGATCCTTATGACCAAAGGTAATAGCTACTTCCAAAGGCTTTATCTGGATATGTAAATTTACTTCAGGAAATATAAACTTTGGTGCAGAAATAAGAGTAAATATATTTTTGTCATACTTTGGATTTTTCTTCATATTCTGTCTTTACATCTCACAAACAAAAATGAAAGCTTAGATCACTTTTTTGAATTACTTTTAAAATATTCTGACACAAAATGGGAAGACTAAAAAAAATAAATAACCATAATAGTATTGACAAATGTTAAATTTTCTTGGTGATATCATTGTGAATCATTGTTCATTATATTGTCAGTTATGTCGATTAACATTTACTTAATTGTAGGCATATCAAGCAAATGCAATGCAAGATACTTGATTAGATCCTGAATTTAAAAAATAAAATCTCTTTAAAGAGCATGTGGATAATTGGGAAAATTTTAATATGAATTATGTTAGATAACAGGATTCTATTGATGTTAAATTTCCTTCACGTTATAATTATGTAGAAGTCTGCCCTTTCTCTGAGGAGACACATGTTCAAGAATTTGGAGGTGTCATGTGCTCTAAAATTAACAATGTACTTTCAAACAGTTCAGGAAAAATGTACATGTGTGGTTATATTATATATATAGAGAGAGAGAGAGAGAGAGACAGAGAGAGAGACAGACAGACAGAGACAGAGACAGACAGAGACAGGCATAGCAAGAGAGAAAGTAAATGTGGCAAATAGCTACAACTGATTAATCTACATAATGGAAATATGGGTGTTCATTGTATTAGTCTTTCCATTTTTAAATAAGTTGGAAACTTTGCAAAACAAAAATTGGGGGGTTAGGAACTATATTTAGCTAATGAAAGCAAATTTACATTCTATCATGTTTGTGAAGAGCTTAGAGAGACAATATTTTATACATCTAAGATAATCATTATGTGTGTGATTGGAATTGGTTCAGTAATTTGAACTATTGAAAACATCACAGCAAAATGTGATTAGAATTAGTGCACTATCTTTGTATATCCCCCAAATTACCATTATAATATGAATGCTTTACACAAATTTTAAATTCTCTTTACTCCTTCAAGAAACTTCTCGTGACATCCTCCACAACTAGACTGAAGAGCAAAAGGACAGCAACTTGTCTGTTCCCCTTCCCCAATTCCCCAATGCTGTTCCCTCCCCCAATTCCCCAATTTAAAAAAATCTTTAAAAAAGAAAATAAAAGAAAATTCTCAAGTTGAGAAACACAATGTTCTTACACTGGCCTATGCAACCAGTGTTCTAAAAATATCCATATGAACGTTCTGGCCAAGCCAGGTCTATATTCAAGCATAGATTGACGTGAACAAGAAGAATGTTTGAGCAGCTCTAAAGATAATTCAAACAAAAGCCCACCTGTGCACACACTCTCTTTAACAAGTAGATTTTCCCCCAAATCACCCACATAGCAATTCGAAAAGCATCATCACTGTAGATCACATTCACTTTGAATGTGTCCTGCCACGCAGAAAAACACTTATCACAAGCTCACTGAATGAACAATTGAGAGTGACATCAATTGGAATTTAGTATGATTGGATTCCTCTCTAAAACTACATCACTATAACTGAACTCGAGTTGTGCTGTCCCTGCAAAATTCTGCTTAGTTTTTTTTGGCCTTTCTCTCTCTCTCTCTCTCTCTCTCTCTCTCTCTCTCTCTCTCTCTCTCTCTCTCATAGTTGGCCTTCTTTTAAAAATGCAGATGCTAAACCTGTGTAGGAATTAGTGCGTGAGAACTGAATAAATTACACAGCAAATGTTTGATCAGTCAAATATTTTGCTTAAAAAAAAGATTCTAGAAATGCCCCCCCAAAAAAGGAGGTGAAAGAAGGGAGTGTTTGACTTAATTTTCCTCTAGTGTCCAACTCTGTTGAATCTTTACTTAAACTCCCACTCACCTCTGATTTGGTAAACTAGAAAAGCATTAGATGTCATAAGACTGGATCAGAGTTCTGATGATAAAAGGACTAAGTTAAGTATGAGAAGAGCAATGACAGAAAAAGGAGGGCCTGTTGCCTCCTTTTTTCTTACCTTCACTAACCAATCTGCTCCTTTGGTCCTGCAGAAACACAACGATTGACCATAGAGAGATGAATAAGCCAGCCAGTGCTTTTTCCAGAAATGTTCGCAAGCCTTTGGTGAGTCTACCTTTCACTGCTAAAAACCAAGAAACTAAACTGCTTGTTGCATTTCCATTCTTTTTATAACTGATCCTATGGAAAAAGAGTTGTTTTTGCTCATCTGATTTGTTCTAAAGAACAGTGGGAAGTCCCGGAAAGGGGGGAGGCAATAACTGACAAACCCACATCGAGCCACAGAATGGTGTTTCTTCCCCTTTTTCAAAAAATGAAACCTATCTATGAAACTGTCTCTTGTTAAAACAGCTTAACGCTACACATTATGTAAGAACCCTATCTACATAAATTTACTCCTATAACCCTAAATTCTCTGGAACTCCTCTCCCAAAAGAGAGCCAAAGTCAGATACTATTTAGAAAATTCTGTTTCATCACTAATGATAATTTTTAAGAAGTATTATTTCTCAATCGTACTCATAGTTTTTAAAAATGCAAGTGAAAACAGTTTTCTCTCTCAAATTAACAAAGGTAAAAAAATTCAATAATACAGTTAGTGGCAAGATTTTGAGAAACAGGCACTCTCATGTACTATTGGTGGGATTGTAAACATTTTTAGAGAGCAATTTCCCAGTACCTGTCAAAGTCTTTTTTTTTCAAATATTCATACCCTTTGACTCAACAATTTCATTTCTGTAAATTTATTCATGTGATATATTTACACCTGTGCACAAAGACATGTGAAAAGATATTTGTTGCAGCGTTGATTAAGAAAGTAAGCAGCTAGAAAAAAATTCACAAATAGGGTATTGGCTAAATAAATGAGAGAATATCCCTACTGTAGAATACTATGCAGTTAGAGTGAGGTGGCTTTATGTCTAATAATAAGAAAAGATCTCCAAGATACATTGTTTAATAGGAACATATAATATGCTCCAATTTGTATTTTTTAAGATATATATATGTATATATATGGAAGAAATATATATATATATTTGCTTGTACATAGAATATTTCTACAGGGATACACAAAAAAACTAGAAATAAGCAATTGTCTTTTGAGAATGACTCTTACTTTTTACTCTATACCCTTTTGAAATTTTTTCTATGTGTGTATTACTTTTTCATCTTAAAAGCTAGTATTTTAAGTCATTTTTGTTCCCTTTTAAAATTTTTTCTTTTTCTTTTTTTAAAGATTTTTTATTGGGGAATTGGAGGAGGGGAACAGCGTTGGGAAACGGGAAAGGGGAACAGACAAGTTGCTGTCCTTTTGTTCTTCAGTCTAGTTGTGGAGGACGTCATTTCATGGCCCATGTTGGCATTATCACTGCGCTCTTCCCAGGTGAGGCAGTTGCTCGCCGGCCATTGGACAGCCGCTCTCAGCGGCTCTTGTCCAGCTCACACTGGCTGCCAGCCACTCATATTAGCTTATAGCAGCCCACTGCAGCCCCACTGCAGCCTACGCTGTTGCTGGCAACTCATGGCAGCCCAGCTCCAGGTTGAGCTGTTGTTCACCATCTTAGTTGTAGAGGGCAGTGTCACTGGCCCGCATGTGGGATCCAAACCGGGGCCCTGCTTCTCAGAGCTGGCGTCCCAAGCCAATTTTTAACTGATGCATCACTTGGCCGGCCCTAACATTTTTTCTTTCTTTTTTTTTTTTAAGATTTTTATTGGGGAGTTGGGGGAGGGGAACAGACAAGTTGCTATCCTGTTTGTTCTTCAGTCTAGTTATGGAGGACATTGCTTCACTGGCCCAAGTTGGCACCATCG